TCAAGGTGCTGGCCCACGTCCCCCTCCAGGGATGTGGCACAGGGGCAATGCCCATTGTGGCTATGTGGCAGGCCGTGGGAAGCTCAGGTCTAGCTCCACCCTTGGGAGCCCTCAACAGAGCTGGAAGTCAGTCAACAGAAGATGGAAGTCACGTCCAGCCTGCTCTAAACACCGTCAGCCTTCACTGTCAAAGACAAAAAGTCCAGCGGATGCCTGTAATCCCACCTGCTTGGGAGGCTGAGGCAGGAAGATCTCCAACTCAAGTGAACTGAAGAGTTTAATGAAACTGTCTCAAAAATAACCAAAAATATGGCTGGGGGTATGGTTCAGTGGTAGACTGCCCCTGGGTTCAATCTTCAGCACCGATTCCCCCAACAGAAGAAATAAAAAAAGAGGAGGCCAGGGATTTAGTTCCGTGGTTCTGGCGCCTGCTCCACAAGTGCAAAGACCCGAGTTCAATCCCCAGTTCCAGGAAAAAAAAAAAAGAAAAGGCTTGCAACCAACGTGAACTCCTACATTGCTCTCTGAGGCCCTGCCTGTTTGGCCCCTGTTGATCTCCTGCAGCTACACCAGCCTCCTGATGTTCTTGATCTTGTACAGCTCCTTCCTGCCTCAGAGCCTTCCGCCTTTCATCTACCTGGGGTACCATCCCCCACTCTTCCTAGGCTCTCCCCAAGTCCTTTTTCCTCCTCTGCGGCTCCAATTCCTTAACGGCCCATCTCATCTCCCTCTTCCCTCTTTTGTGTCTTCCCTTTATTTTGAGATTAAGTTGCCCAGACTAGAAATGATGATCTTCCTGCCTCAGCCTCCAGTTTTTTGTTTGTTTTCTTTCTGGGGATTGAACTCAGAACCTTGTACTTTCGAGGCAGGTGGTGGAACCACTAAGCTAAATCCCTGGCCCTGTTTGTTTTTGGAAACGGTTTCACTATGTAGTTTTGGCTTGCCTTGAACTCACTACATAGCTCAGGCTGGCCTCAAAGTCAAGGTGATCCTCCTGCCTCAGCCTCTTGAGTGCTGGAATTACAGGTGTGCGCCACCACGCCTGGCAGCCTCCACTTTTATAACACAGATTATTTGCCTTGAGTTCCCCCGACCAGGGCAGGTTTCAGCACACAGGAGGTGCTCGGCAGTTACCCAAGGAGTGAAAGCCTCTACATAATGGAGAGGCAGCCTTTGGGGTCCCCTCTGTATCCAGAGCCCAAACTTTCTGCCCCGGATGCCCAGGAGACAGGTAGCAGCCCCGTGACCTCGACCCTGACCCACGACCCCTTCCCCCACCCGGGCTCTGCTTTCTGGAGCCCCTCCCCCGAGAGCTGCTGGGATTGGCCGGAACCTGCCAGGTCACAAAGCACCCAAGCACCCATCCTCAGCCAGCCCCTGGGGCAGGCCGGTGGGTTCAGCTGCAGGGGTCGGTGAGTGGAGCTGGCCGGGCTTGTGCGGGCAGTCGGGGACCTGTCACTCTGCTCTGTGCCTCCAAAGTCCTCCTGGACCTCTGGGCTGCTCTGACAGGCAGATCAGCACCTGAGCCCCTCAGAGCCGGGGTGCTAGGGGTCCCCAAAACCTTGAGGGGGTTTTGTCCTGGACAGCTTGTGGGACTCTTAGTTTGTGTGACAGACGGGGAAACGGATGATACTGACCAGCCGGCCTCTTAACGCCTGTGTGCTGGCAGCTCCTCTCCCTCTCCCCACCCCATGCCTTCTTTTCTCTTTCTTTTGGGTTGGGGGCGTTGAGATAGGGTCTCTTCACGTAGTCTGGGCTGGCCTTGAACTCACACCCAGACTGGTAACCCTCCTGCATCAGCCTCCTGAGTGCTGGGATGACAGGCGTGCGTCTGACGACAGGGCTCCAAGGGGCAAGGTCACTCCTGCCCCCAGCCGAGGACTCGGGGCCACAAGTGGCTGGTGCGGTTGTGGCAGTAACCCTGCGTTTCCATGCCTCAGTTTCCCTGTAGGGAAACACGAGTCAAGTCCTTGCCTGTCCCGGGTTTTTCTTTATCGTTTCTTGGTCTGGTTGTGCCACCAGTTGTGCGGAGAGGGCGTTCAGACCTTCAGGGTCGGTTATGATGGGCCTGTTCAGTTCTGCCTGCGTCGGCTTACTGAATTTCGTGCCCCATTTAGGAGGTACGGACACATCTGTTGCTGTCTTGCCTTCTGAGTCCGTTCCCCTTTTGTGAGGTGACATGCGGTCCCTGGTGACATTCTTTGGCCCCCAGTCAGTATTATCCAACGTGTGTGCAGCCCGTCCACCTCAGGGCTCCTGTCCCCTGCGTGGTGAATCTTTTGCTTCTGCCCGTTTACCTTTCACTCATCTGTGTCTACACTTAAAGCGTGTATTAGGTAGCATAAATCAGGTCTTTTTAAATTGACTCTGGCCGGGCATGGTGGTGCACTCCTTGAATCCCAACACTGGGGAAGCTGAGGCAGGAGGATCGCCATGAGCTGACGTCAGCCTAGGCAACCCATTAAAATCCTGACTCAAAAACAAAGACCAAAAACTGAAAGCAAGCAAAATAACATTTACTGTGGTTTTGTGGTCAGCGTTACCATGGTTAGATAGTAACTTGCCTATTTGTATATGCTTTTATTAAGAATAGCTATTGGGTGCGATAAAATCCTTTTGGGGTACCCTTTGAAAAAACTTTCATGGCTATCAATTTCTGGATGTAAGGAATTGTCTTGGAGTTTATAAATAGGAAATCCGGGCCAGGAATTTAGCTCAGTGATTCCATCTCCTGCCTCACCAGCACAAGGACCTGAGTTCAATCCCCAGTAACCTCTACCTAAAAAAAAAAGTTATGCAAACAAAAGCAATGTCGGAGTTTCCCTCGGCCTTGTTTTTGTTCTGAATATTGTAACATACCTACTATCTACAACTTCTCATTTACTGATCCGTTCATTCAACAACCCAGTCCCAGAACTAGAGCTCAGTGGTTAAACGAGGAGTGTCTATATTTTATTTGATAACTGATCATATTCTCTGTAGAATCTCTGCCCTTATCCACAAGTGAGAGATCAAGATACATTATTTTTTAAAATAACATTTCAGCCAGATGTGGTGGCACATGTCTGTGATCCCAGCACTCAGGAGGCTGAGGCAGGAGGGTTGCTGTGAGTTCAAGGTCAGCCTGGGCTGCATAGTGAGACATGGGAAAAAAAAGTTTAAAAAAATCACTTCTATGACTGTCATAAAAGGGTCAGATTATGGGCTGGGGATTTAGCTCAGTGGTTCCACGGCCTACCTTGCAAGTGAAAGAACCCGAGTTTGATCCCCAGTACCCCCCAAAAAAATCAGATCATTATGCCACTTGGATTAGAAAACCAAACTCCCTTATTTTCCAGCAAATAGTTTGCTTTTAGCAAGGTGTGGTGGTGATGCTTGTCATCCCAGCATATGGGAGGCTGAGGCGGGAGGACAGAAAGTTCAAGCCCAGCCTGGATAACAGCAAGGCCACATATCAAAATAAAAAACAATAAAAAGGGCTAAGGATGTAGTTCAGTGTGAAGGTCCTGAGTTCACTCCCAGCAATGTAGAAAAGAAAAAAGCCATTCACGCGAGTCTTGACCCCTCCTCTTGGCCTTGCCGGGTGGGAAGCCGGGGCCGCAGGCGTGCTAGGCAAGTGTGAGCCGCACCCCAGCGTGAGAATTCAGCCCGACCACTTTTACTGCTTCTTCTTGCCTTGGCCTTGAGGACGGAGCCGTCCCAGAGCAGGGTTGCTGCGCGTCAAGGGGAATGAAGAGCCGGAGGCAGCCTCCTCACACAGGCTGGCTTCTGAGATCGTTCCTCCTCCGGCTCTTCTTCCAATTCTGACCCTCAAGGTGCGAGGGCAAGGGTGACTGCGTCCGGACTCTGTCCCCAGGCCTCCCTGTCTCCTCCCTCTACCAGCCACCCCCGATCCACCCATCCAGCTCCCCATCCGCCACCTGTTCCGGAATCTCCTCACCAGCTCTTACTCTCCCTTTACAAACCCCACATCCGCCCGGTTTTATGATTTGCCCACCCCCCACTCACACCCCGACAGTCACCCTCCCGTGCCCCCCACAGGCCCAGCTGAGCTGCTCAGGAGCCAACACAATGCAGCAAGCAGCACAGCTCCCGGTCGAGAACCAGCTGTCGCCAGGTGGGCCTCTCCCGCTCCAGCCCCAGCTCACCCCTGATGTCCGAGACGGCTGCGTGGAGAAACCAGCTCCACAGCCACGGCCGGGGCCCCCCGGCTCCCAGCAGCCAGTGCCCCAGCGTGTGCCGCGCCTGCGGGCGGTGGAGGAGAGCCAGGCCTTCAAGGACATCCTGGTGGACGAGGTGGACA